GAGAAAGTGTGACCTCTACACGTCATCACCTGTATGGAATCTGAACTTTGACCACTTCTTGTCTTAATGCAGCCATCCAGAACGTTTGCCCAGTGTTCCAGAAACTCAAGATATTTATTGGATCCTTACCCTAAAGTAACTCTTGACAGCCTTAAGGACAAATATTTCCTTTAACGACCTTATGGCTGTTGCCTTTACAAGCCCGACTTCCTCTTTCCTGGAACGCTCTTTTGGTTCTACCTGAATCTGTGTCTCCCCCGTTGCAATTCCTAAGACCTGCAAATAAAGCTCCTTGTCCTCTGTAGCCTTGATACTGATTGTTGTTTGATGCTGGACACCCATTTACCAACCTCAGTGTGTGGCTGGGACTTAAGATTCGACTAGGCCACCTCTTGGAGCCTCAGTGTCTCCGCATCTACCTACCCTCCCGCCAAGGCTGTTGTGAGAACGAAGGTGGAGAATGGTCTTGGCTGTACTGCATCAACTGTGGAGGGCTGTGCACACATGAGGGGTCGCCCCTGCTCGTGTGTGGAGTACATGGTGTGTGCAAACCTCAGGGGGACCTGGTCAACCTCCCTCCCAAGAGGAGAAAGGAAAACCTTAATGACAGTCCACTGTGCAGATGGGAAAAACAGGCCTGAAGGGGCTGAGGTACCTCCTTGGGCTGACCGGGCAGTGAGGCAAGAACTCTGTGGGATTTGGAGCCCCTCGTGCGCCCATTAACAGCCACCCACTGCAGAATCACCCAGAAACCTCAGAGTCCCACTGATGGGTGTGCCACAGTACCCCCTGGTGCCCCAGCACCTGGAGCACCCCCTCGGTGCTCTCCCTCAGGGCCTCCCACCCAGACCCAAGTGGCTGGGCTCAAATCCTGCTGGGACCCTGGGCAAGTGAGTGAATGCCCGTGTGTGAGTGTGTGCACAGAAGCATGCATGTGTGTGCACAAGTGTGTGCGTGTGTGTCTGTCCGTGTGGCAGAGAGGGAGCTTCCCACAGATTTCTGCTTGGGACCCCAGAGGGCCAGCCAGGAGCATTTCTAAACAAGGCCAGTAGGGCTGCAGGCTGAGGGGCTACAGTGGAGTTTCCTGTGTTACCCAAGCTGGGTGAGGTGAGCCACAGTCCTCTCCAGATCCTCAGAACAAGAGGGTCCCTGGTTCTGAGCATCTGAAGTTTCTCAGTTCTCAGCTTCTGATTCCAAGAGTCTCAAATTCCCAAGTTTCAGACGCCACGGCTGGAAGAAGCCAGGAAGACTGGGCAATCCCCACCCCCAGCCCCTTGAGAGAGGAGCGCCTCCAGCTCACCATCTGGAGCGTGGGGTGCTGACACACCTGCAGGGGGCCCCGGGATCCCTATTCACAAGGAGTGAGCAGAGCCAGAAGCTCAGAGACCTGGGTGGCCCCTCGGGCTAGGCTCCCAGGCTAGACTGTGAGGGCTTAAGGCTCCCTCAGCTGGGCCCTTCCAAGCCTGGTAATGGTGAGGAGAATCCACTCCCCCATGACCACTCTCTCCAACCACAGAGCCAGGCCTGGACCCTGCCTATCCCTCCACCCCACACTGCCTGCTGCCCTAAGCAATGGCTGCTGTGTTGCCTCAGGCAACTCACTACACCTCTCTGAACCCTACACTCTTCCTTAGTAAATAGGTTCTCCTAACACCCTCCTCTCAGAATCATGGTGCAAAGTGAGACTCTGTGTCTACAGCGACTGGGAAAGTACAAGGAGGAAATCCAGAGAGGAAGCCCGTGTGCCTCTCAGGAAGCTCAGCGCTTCACTAGCTTTAAGTCATTTCATCTTCACAGTGACCCGATGAGGAAAGAACCATTACTATCCCCACCGACAGATGAGCAAACAGGCTCCGAGAGGCTGCTCAGGGTCACACAGGTGGTGGCTGGCGGCAGCGCCAGGCTGGGTCCCTCACACTACCGTACACTGGCTCAGTGGGAGGCAGGAGCTCAGGAAATGGCAGGTCTCTCTGCTCGGTGGTTTCTCACGGGTTCCATGGAAAGCAGGTCCTCGTTTCCCATTCCCTGCACTCCCCCCAACCCAGTCTCAGGAGCAGAACCAGGCCTCCTACTGCTGTCCTCGGGGTGGGAAGCCTGGGTTCCCGTCTCTGTTCCCCCCACCCCTCCCAGAAGTATCTTCAGGAGTGGATGGAGGCTGGGGCTGGAGGGCAGGGCTTGGGGAAGGGAAATGAGGCGGCAGCTGCTGCTCTGGGCAGGGCTCTGGGGTAGAGGAAGACGGGGATGCGAGACCCGCCCGGGGGGCTGTTTCCAAGCAAAGCCCCAAGAGCGGCCTCGGAAGCGGGGCCTGCCCTTGTCCCGGGGGAGAAGGCGGCCTTGCCCGGGCCTGAGCCCTCAGATGGGATGGGGGCATCGGCCCTTCCCATCCCAGGGGGCCACGGTCATGGGGTCGAAGGTCCACAGACCCAGAGCATGATCCACATGCACCCCGTCGCCGGCCCCTCCACACACCCTCTGTGACTTCGAGCCGGCAGCCTCCTCCCCGGGCCTCTGTTGTCACCGTCCATAAATTGAGTGAGGGTCAGGGTCAGGTGGGGCACTAAGGCGACGTGGTGACAAGGGTCTTCTCTGGTCAGTGGGGCAGGGCTGCAAGGGGCTTCAGAGAACCAGGCTGTTCCCTTTAGAAGGTCTGAGGCTGGGAGAGGGTCAGGGGCTGCCTGAGGACATACAGTATGTTAGGGAAATCGGGGCACAGGCCTGATCCCACCCCACCTCTCAGCCACTCCCCTGTCCCATCTGCCTCCCACCCGGCCACCCTACAAGGGAGGGAGACTCCAGATTGAGCACGGCTTGGTGGGTCCCCACCATCCCCTGTGGGCCCCAAGTGTCTCCCCGAGGCCTCAGCATGGCTCTCTCCATGCCCCATACAGAGGCTGGTCTGGGGGCCACTGGAGAAAAAACTGTCAGGGCTGTTGGTTCCTGGCTGGGTGTCAGGGGACCTGGTTCCAAACCGCATGCTGATGTCTGACCTTGAGCCGGTCACCACCTGCTCTGGGCCTCAGCCCTGAAAGCGGCAGGAGGAGGGGGCAGGGGTGTGGAGGGGGCCCAGGCAGGGGTGGCTCCTGGGAAGAGAACGCATACCACGAGGCGGGGACACACAGGCTTTACTGGGGACGCGCGGTGAGCGCGGCAGAGGCACTCACATGCCTACACAGAGCAGACGCGCTGGGGTGGGGATACAAGCAGTCTGCACCAAGAGGGTCCCCAGAGCTGCAGGGAGGGGTCAAGCAGAGAGGCAGAAGGACAGTGCCATCCACAGGGGTCTAGCCTCCAGGCTCCCCCGGAGTCAGCAGAGAAGCAGGCAGGGATCCAAGCATGTCCCGGAATAGACACCCAAGCTTCAAGTTAGAAAGGACCATCGCTCACACCACAGCCAAATCTCCCACTTTAGAATCGACTCCAACTGCCTCTGCTTGCCTGCCTCCAAAGTGGGGGCCTGCCCTCCCGGCAGCCCTGGCCGCTAGGGTTGGCTCTGACCCTCCATCTCCTCTCAGTGCCTCTGTTCCCAGGGCCCTGCAGCCCCCCCGACGGCTCTGCTTCACGAGGGAAATGTCATGGGCACGTCCCTGACAAAAAACAGGGCTGACCTGGAGACACAGTGTTGGGGGCGCTTCCTGAGGTGCCCTTGGCTGGTGCCAGGCCTCAGAGGAGCTCACTGGGCCTGTGCAGCGTGAAGGGGGCTTGGGGCTTGGAACTGAATCTGCTGGCAATTGTACCTCAGTTTCCCTCTTTGTTTGGTGAGTGGGTTCTGCCCTGTGACCTCTGAGGCCAGTGTTCCGCCGTCACACCACACTGTCACCTCCAGCCCACTTCTGACCATCATCCATCACAGCTCCCCTCCCAGGCTGCCCCCGATTCCTAACCCTCAACCCCACCAAAGATGCCACACCAGGATGACACACCTGCCTTCTCCGACCAGTTAGCCAGGAAAAGCCTGCCATCCCAGGAGGGGACACCTCAGGCCCCAGAGATGTTACTGTCTCCAGCTCCAGGGCTCTGGACCCCCTCTATCCAGCTTCCCCCAGGCAGAGGGAAACATGTTTACTACACTGTTGCCCACTTCACTGCATGAACCTCAGAGTCTCCCGGCTCAGGAGCTTCCCCTCCGCAATGTCATCCTGATCAAGGCCCTGCTAAGGGCCACCAGGGAACCAGCTAGGCAATTCAGACTTATTCACAGGGCAGGTATAGAATACAACCATATAAATATAGCATGCTCTCTCTCAATACATATGTGTATGTACAGATAGATACATCTCTACGCAACGTTTTCTAGATCTCCCCCTTCACTTCTCCCCTCCTGAAGTCATTCCTAGAAGAGCAACAGCTGGCCTGCACAGCCTCCAGCGTGCCAGCCACTGCCCACTGCCCAAATCAGCCCTCACAGCAACCCTGCCCAATGTCTTAAGAGCCCTGAGGTGTCGTGGGCCCACACAAGGTGCCCGGAGCAGCAGGCTGAGTGCTCACCTCCAGACACGGACACTGGGAAGGGGCATCGTGGCCAGGAGGGCAGCAAATGCCTGTGTGCCAGACTCTCCAAGGAGGCTGCTTTGTCGTCTCCGGGCCCCTGTCTCCGGAGGAAGCCCAATGGCTGGTTCTTTAGAGTTATCTCTCTCCGTCTGTGTCTGTCTCTGTCTTGGTCTCTCAGTCTCTCTCCCAACAATGGAGCAGAGAGAAGGCAATCTCCCACGGCCTCTCCATCTTCCCACACTAGCCCCGACCAGGTCTCCATGGTCTACAGCAGAAGCAGAGGCAGCCAGGTCAGCTTCTAGACTACGGAGCCCTTGCATCTTCCTCCCGTGAACAGGAGCGCCGGCACCAGGGAAAGGAGAGAAGGAAGGACGCAGGCTCAGGGGTCCTGGCCAAGCCAAGTACAGGCCAGCAGCTAGAAGAATGTCCCCAAACACACACATGGGGGAAAGGGGTATGGGCAGGGGTCAGGCAGGTGGGCCAAGGGAGAGGGTAGCAGCGGGCAGCTGCCATCAGAGCTGGCTAAAGACCACGGAGGCCTTGAGGTCGGCAGGCTCGACGCCCTCGCTGAAGGTGATGAGGAGTACACGACCTTGCGGATCTTGGCCAGCTCGGACAGGCGCTCCCCAAACTCCAGGGCGTCGGCCTCATTCCAATCCATGGCTTCCGAGTCCTCCTTGCGCCAGAAGATGGCAGCGGGGTCCAGCAGCTGCCGCGTCATGAGGTTGGTGAGGTCGGGCGTCCAGATCTGGGAGGTGCCCGTGATGGTGACCTTGCCCGGCTTGTCCAGCACGACGTCCCGGCGCTCAAACCGCAGCCTCTGCTGCTGGCTGAAGCCGACGCGGTACATGGGCTCGACCGGCTGCAGCAGCTTCTCGCCATCCTGGAGCGTCCCCTGGTGCTTCAGACTCTCCACGCGCAGCCGCATCTGCTTGGTCAGGTCCTCATCCAGGACCAGGGGCACGTCAAGCTGGGTCGGCTTCGGCTCGTCCTCCGCCATGGCCCCCTTGCTGCTGCCGCCTCCACCGTCCAGGAGCCGAGCCGACTCACGGCCAAGGCGAGAGCCACCAAAGGGGAGCCCCGCCTCCCCTCTCGCCCCCTCCTCGTCCCGCCCCTCTTTGCCACTGGCTCTTCCCAGCCCCACCCCGTCCTCAAAATGGGGTGGGCAGGGGGGCGGGCTTCCCCACATGCCTCCTTCTCTACTCCTCGCAGGAGCGGTAATGGAGGCACTGCCGGCAGGCAGGAGGGTGGCAGGCTCCTCAGGGACCAGCTGCTGTGGCGACCGCGCTGGCTACCGAGGATGGGCTGAGAGCTGGCTTGCTGCGAAGAGGGAGCACTGCTTACAGGCAGTAAGAGGGCGGCGGGGGGCGGCAAGCGCTCGCTGGAGACACATCAGGAGAGGCTGAAGACGCCCTGGCAGGAGGGTGGGAAATAAGGCCCAGAGGGGCCCACCGATTTGAGATTTGAAGTCACCTAAGCCGAACCTTGGCGCCCTCCTTGACTCGGCCTCACCCGCACCCCTCCATGCCCGATCGGCAAGGCCTGTGGATTACCCTGGAAACACGTCTCCCCAACCCCACTGCCAGGACCCCGGCCCAGCCACCATCATCTCTCACCTAGACCGATGTTCTCAGACTTCAGGGAGTATCAAAACCAGCTGCAGGACTTAAAACCCAGTTTGCTGGGCCCCACCCCAGAGTTTCTGATTTAATCGGTCTCGGATGAGGCCTGAGAACTTGCATTTCTAACAACCTCCCAGGTGATGCTGATACCGCTGGCCCAGGAGCTGTATTTTGAGAATCACTGACCTGGATGATTCTTGCCTGCTGGCCCCGCCTCAACCCTGCGCCGCATGGCAGCCACATGCCCAGGAAGCTCTTCTACTAAAATCCCACCACTTATTACCCCTGTGTTGAGCCTCAGTTTCCCCCGGGGAGACTTGAGGCCACGGAAGAATCTGACAAACGTCTGTATCCCCGGTGCCTGAGGGGGAACCAGGAGCTCCGCTGTTATACGTGGGTAAATGGAAGAAATGTGAGCGTAACTGGGGGTGAGGGTGAGGGAGAGGGGAAGCTGCCATGACACTGCCACACACAAAAAAGAGGACAGAAGCACAGGCCAAAGTGTAATAACTGAAAACAATCTGAAGGGCCCAGTGGACCACAAGCACAGTCAATTGCTAGATGGAAGCTAAGTAAGTCAGTGGGGTCTTGGGCTACACAAACAGCAAGAGGGTCACCAAAGGGGACCACGCACCTGATCCTGTTAAGACAACACCTCAAGCCCTTGGGTCAGTTCTGGGAGCTGCTGGCAGCAATTCCCCGATGGTATTCGAGAAAACCAGGGAGCAAATGTTAAATGCCTGTCCCTCACAGAACCTTTTACTTTGTAGCTGGAGCAGCAGAGGAGAGGGGAACAATGTGTCTCAGGAGTGACTGTTCGGGGAGCTTCTCTCTCCTTCATGAGGAGGAGCTATTTCCTTCCCAGCACTAAATTTTGCTTTTTATTTGTACATTTGCTTCGTTTTTGTCTGTGATGTCTCCCCACCAAGAGGGCAGGGACTGTGGCTGTCTGGTTCATCACTCTAGTCACTACCTAGAACAGGGCTGCCACATAGGAGGCCCTCAGAAATCCTGAATGAATGAATGAACGAATGACACTGACAAGAGAATAGCTGATGTGATGGATCATGGGGCCTAAGGACAGGGACAACAAGAGGAAGATGGGCACATGGGGAGAGAGTTCACGGGCACTGACCGAAGTCAAAATGTGGTTTAGAGACAACTGTGCATCGGGCACGGGAAGGAGGGAGATGGCTGGAAGGTGAGGGTGATGGAGCAACAGAACCAAGAACTGGGCCAGGGTGATGAGGGCAGGGTGTCAGCCACACAGGCACAGTAACCCCTGGGACGCAGCAGTACCTGGGGTGGGAAAGGCTGGGAAATTGGAGGTGTTGAGCCCTTGATGCCTGGGTGCCAGGGTAGCTGGTTGCCAGGGGATGGCAGTAAGGTGGGCTGCTGGTGGGGGCTGGTGGGGGACAAATGGCATGAGCCTGCAGGGGTCTATATGGGGAGGGTGTGGTCTGGAGGCATCACTGAAGGGAGAGAATGCCGCCACCTCTCCGGGCCTGCAGGACATGGTGGGAGGTGTCCAGCTTCTACCAATGAGGATTCAGAGGCCGCAGGACCCTGGGGAAGGGCCTCGTCTCGGCCTGAGCAGAGGGTTACCGACCGGCAGGAGGAGGCTGAAGGTGGAAGCTGTTACCAGGGCTGGGGCCTCACAGACAGGCAGGGCAGGAGGGAGGGAGCCGTGGGGACCAAGGACGGCCAGAGGGGAAGGAAGGGCAGGCGGGAGGCTGCGGGTGGGGCTGGCCCACTGCTTCCCACAAACCTCTGCTTGGCCACCAGATGCCTTGGGAGGCCCCACCAAAGGCTGGACGTAGGAGTGAATAGAGAAGAGAAAAGCAAGGTACAGACTTGCATCCGTGACTGCAAAAATGTGACCGTAACAAATGAACAAGCCCCTCCTTAACCCCAAATGTAAAAAAGACTAGAAGGAAATGTAGAAAAGCCTCAACACTGGCTGTTTCCAGGTACTTTTTAAAATCACCTGTCCCCAGTACCTAGAATGGTGCTGGGGCATAGCTGGTGCTCAATTACCGTGTGGTGCATGAACTGCTATATGCTAAAGGGCGGGGATTGCTCATATAACATGGGCAGAGGTGGGATGGGAAACGTTTTTAGGTGGAACTAAAAGACTGCGAGGCCCTGCCACCAGGTGCCTCCCCTAGGCCCCGGCCCAGGATGCCCACCCCCCAAAACTTGCTCTCAGACACTCGGGCACCCCTCTGGGTTTCTGCTCTCCCCCCACTGGGGGCATGGCTGTCTCCTCCTGGGCCCAGGTAGCCCGTGACTCAGAGCAGGGCTCAGGCCTGCCCTTGCGCCTGGGGCCATGCCAGGCTCTAGGGAAGGTGAACTCACCTGGCTCGGGCCAGGCCAGGCTAACGGCAAATGCTCCACCCCCCTGTCACATCTGACTCTGGTCCACAAAACCTGGTCACCTAAAGTCCACTGCCCTGCCCTCAGGGAATGCACAGTCAAGTTGGGGAGACCATAATGCCCCCATCAGGGATCCCATAGGACGGGGAGGCCTGCTTCCTGGAAGTGTCCGGCAGAAGAGGGGAATAGGTGGGAGGCCAGAGGAGGGGCAGAGAGGGACTTAGATTGCTGCTAAATGCCATGGGCTTGCCCCGCACCCCTACCCTGTGGGCTCCTTTAATCCTCCCACCACCATGGGGACTGGAAAAGTCAGGTGTACACAGAGGCCAAGAAAAGAAACATGACCTGACCAAGGTCACACGACTAGCGAGAAGCCCAGCCAGAATCAAACCCAGGACCCGCTGGCTTCAAATCCCCTGCCTGTCGGCCCCAGGCCATGTCAAGTACTAGAGATAAAGGGGTGGCTTCCTGGAGAAGGGGGCATATGTGTCAGGGGCATGATGTGCCTGCATCTGAGGCTTAGCATCTCCAGAGTGTGAGGTGGGTAGAGGGAGCAGGGGTGCAGCTCAGGCTGAGCACCCCCATTCCATGGAGAAAACAGGGTGGGGCAGGGGAGGCCCTGCAGGGCAACAGGCCCAGCAAGTGAGGGGTGACAACAAACAAGGCCCAGTCAGCAGGGACAGGAGGGGAGGTAAGGCTCAGTAATGAGCTCCCTGGGGCCTTGTGCCTGCTGCTGGGACCCAGGGTCTGTCACCACAGCAGCACCAGAAGGTAGAGTGCAATTAGCCCAGAGCAGAGCCTGCCTCGCCCAACCTCCCAGGGACCTAAGCTCCTGGAGATCGGCCCCTGAAGCTTCCAGACAAGCCAGGCTGGGTGCCCCAACACCCTGCAGGAGGAACCTTAGGCCCAGAGACAAACACAGGCCTGCCCATGGTCACAAAGCACCAACAACAAGCCTCTTGCCTGTGGGTCCGGGGCCCCTTCTCCCACTTGCTAGGTGGAGAGCTGTCCCAGGGGTCGGGCCCAGGGCAGGGCACACAGTAAGCTGAGGCTCATCTCTACAAATGACTAGACAGCCTGTTCCCCAGGAGGGGACACAGAGGGCCAGGCCCCCGCCCCACTGCAGGCCCCAGGAGGCCTGGGGCTGCTGGCCAGCCGCTGGGGAGGAACTCTGTTCTCAAAACTTTCTTGAGCCCTCTCTGTGCCGGGCTCCTGCTGGGCTCATCAGGAAGATATAGACCAGCTTTGTCTGTGAGCTCAAGAGAAGAGATCACAGATAAACAGGCAATTACAGGGCTGGGTAGGAGGTGTAAGGCCAGCCCCACAGGGTTCCCATGTGCCACCTCCAGCCCCAGACGGAGCCCTGACCTGGGCACCTTGTTCTGGGCTCAGAGAAGGCGGTTGGAGCCTGGAGGCAGGAGGGTGAGGACAGCTCTACACCCGAAGAACAGCGCCAGATCCCAAGCGTCTGTGGGCTATGAGGCTCTCCAAGGCCCTCCCAGCTTGGACGCCCCATGACCACCCATGTCTACGGATCTCAGCAGTGGCCTCTGCCGAGGGGCCTACAGCACAGAGCTTCCCGTATCCCACAGGACCACCGGGGCCAGGCCCCAGGGATGCCCACTTGGGGGTGGCTTTGAGAGGTCCCACCCCTGTTCAGAAGACATGACAACAGGACACCTACCACAGTCCCAGCCTCGGCGAAGGGCACAGCTCCCTCTGATGGCTGAGGGACGCCTCAGAGGATGAGAACAAACTCCTCTGCCCCTTGCACCCTGCTTGCCCAGGAACACCCATTATGTCCCATGAATCTTAATGATCACAACACTGGTCACTGCAGCGCTGCACTGCACAAGGCCCTTTACAGTACCTTGTGCCACCCTCACAGCTCCCCGAGAGGGAGCTACTCTGGTATCCCAACTTTCTGGATGAGTAAGCTGAGGCTAATTACAAAGCTATGAAACGGAGAGGCTGGGACTCGCACCTGAGCCCGTAAGACTCGGATGCCCGGTGCTCTTAAGCCCTACTGCTAGTCCCTACAGAAAGAGCAGAAACGGCAGGGATGAGAAAGGGGCAATGACTTGTATTTGCTGGCGTGGGAACCCAGGATGCAGTCCCCATCAGTTACTCTTTAGAAACCACAACTCCAGCCTCCCTGCTTCCCCAAGGAGAGAGCTCTGAGTGTTGGACTTAAGGGCTGCACCGCCGAATGCTGCCACAAGAGGGCGAAGTGTCAGGACTGGAGCCCATTCTTTCCGACCTAAAACCCTGTGGTTCTGGTCCAGAATATCAGCTGCTTGGAACCATGAATAATGAAACAGGATTGTCTGGATCACTCCAGCTGTTCAGAGTGAGAAGAGTGAGGCCCAGAGAAGGACAAGGGCTGGCCAAGTCGCACAGCAGACACTGGCAGGGGTCTCCGGAGCCGCAGTTGGTGGTGTCTCCGCACTGCACATGCTTTAGGCAGCCTCCACATTTCACAGGTGCATATTCTGCACAGTGGGCCCCCAACAGTCAAGAGTGGCCGCATCAGAACTGGGAGCTCTACAGATTCCCAGCACCTGCCCCTGAGCTGGCAGGGGCAGGGAAGGCAATTCTGATTTTCAGTCAGTGCTGGGGAGCCCTGGCATCACCCCGCCCCCTCCCCACACAGGCTGTCATAACGTCTCACCTGCTCACTCAGGCTGCACCTCCCCCATCTGATGGGGAGGGCGTCAGGCTGAGTTAAGTCTCCCCAGCACCCCTGCCTGACCCAGGCCTCACCTTTTGCCACAGTGACTCGCGGGAAGCGAGGGACGAGCAGGCCGCCACAAACCAGCAGTTGCCCACCTGGCCCTGGTGCAGGTCGTGGGAGCTGATGCCATCCACAAAGAGGCGGGGGTCCTCACATATGTCCTGTGGAGAACCCGAGAGGAGACCTCACTGTCTGCGGGGAGATTCGCCCGCCTCCCCTTGCCTACTGGGGCCCTGGGTCAGTTTCTCCAAATCCAGCTTCTCCCAGGGCGGCCCAGAAAGCCCTTCTCCCCTCCCCTGGCTGAAGAACTCTGCTCTTCTGCCAAAGTTTGGATGATGAGCAAATACTGTGGAAGGACTTCGAGGGGCTGGACCCGGGCCACCACCTTCCTCCTGCCCTCTGTGGTCCTCCCTGACCAGCAAGGGCTCAGTGTCCATCATCCTCCAGCACCAGCAGCCCTGCAGGGCCCATCCCAGCCAGCTCTCAGGGGCCCACAGTCACAAAGTGGGGTGAGGTGCAGGGCAGAAACACATCAAAATTGCACATGCCAAGTGCAAAGGGCCAGGGAGAAGCGAGGAGACAACCATCCCAGGACCCATGTGGGCACATCCTATGGCTGTTTCATCTGACCCTCACCCCACCCAAGCAGTGTGGCATTTTTATTCCATTTTATGGATGAGGAATGAAGGTTCAGAGACAGGCAGTGACTTTCAAGGACACACAGCAAGCAAATGCTGAGCAGAGCTGAGCAGACATCCCCAGGGCTCCCCGAGTGCCCACCCCAGTCCCCTCCTCCTCACCCATCAGCATCTTCATTCTACAGAGCTGAGAGCGAGTGACTGCTCTCCAAGGGGGGTGACAATACAGGGTGGGGGAGGTAAACACTGAGACATGCCTTCCTTCCTGCTGGCACCGTGATCTATCCTCACCATGGTCCTGAGAGGTGGGAATTGTGCTCATTTCACAGATGAGGAAACTGAGGCCCAGAGAGGTTGAACAACATATCCCAGCCACACAGCACACTGGCCTGCCTCCACTTCAGCTGGTGCTCCTGAACCAGTTCAATCACAACAGAGCTACTGAGGTCCTACTGGAGGCAGCCAGCAGAGGGCAGCAGAGTCAGGAAGACAGAATTCAAATTCCTGCTCCCCATTTACCGGCTGTGCAACTTTGGGCCAGTGGCTCAACCTCTCTGAGCCTCCAGTTCCTCCCCGTGCAAAGGAAGTAAATTATTATGCTTGCAGGGCTGTGTAAGGACTCCACAGAACATGCAGGCAGAGTACTTGGCAGGGGAAAACGGGGCAAAGGGCCATCAGGTCTCACTAAGGTGTTCAGCACTCCTGTTGCCACCTCTGCCTGGGAAAACCAGAGTTTGGGAGGGCCACTGAGCGCTGTAACTCCCCTGAGGGCATGAGCACTCCAGATGGGATTTCAGGGTGACCCAGGGCCAAGCTGCAAGAGGCTCCCCCAGAGTACAGACTGCGGAATGCCACAGGTCTGAGTAACACTGCCCCAGGTCATGGAAACCCAGTGAGGCTGGAAACCCAGTGAGCTCTCAGGAAGCAGTGGCTTTGCCTCCCACCCAGCTGCCGTCCTTATCTTATCTCCCAGGCCCAGCTCAGAATTCTGAGCCAGAGGGAGCCATGACTTAGCATCTGCCTCCCTGGGGCCCGGAAGGGCAGGCAGGACAAGGGTGGAGGGGGGCTTCATACCTGGAGGACCCCAGCCACATCCCCACCATGGGAAAAGAGACAGCTACCGCCTGGCATCAGAGGAAGTGACTTCCGAGGCACCCCTCCCCCTTGTGGGCCCTGCACAGAGACAGGACCACCCATTCCACAGAGGGGGATGCCGAGGCCCAGGATGGGGCAGGGACACCTAGGGTCACGGGGCAAGTGGATGGATGAGACAGAGCCTAGCCCCCCGAATAGAGCTCTCCTTCCCACTAAGCGGCACTGCCAGGGCAGCCTGTGGGCAGGTCCAGCCACCCCAGCCTGCCCCAGACACTCCTCTGGCCCCTGGGAGAGACTGAGCTCAGGGCTCCAGAGTCCCTGGTTCCAGGCTCGGCACTGCCCTGACTCCCTGTGATAGAGCAGAGACCCGGGGCAAATCTGCCAGCCTGGGAGGGAGCGGAGAGGAGATGGTGGTCTGGGTGTGTTCCCGCTGCCAGGAGAGGCACAGGTTTTCCAGCTCAAGATAGAGAAACGACTTGAGGTTGGCGGCGGCACCTGGGGTTGGCCCTGGAGTCCAGCGGCCACCTTGGGACACCCTGAATGGAACAATCAGAAACAGCTTGCAATGACTGGGCACCTGCTGTGTGCCCAGCTGTGCGGAACAACCCTGTGAGACACGTACGGTTAGCATCCCCATTTTATAGATGAGGAAACCAAGGCACAGAGAGGGTAAGTCATTTGCACAGGGCCACAGAGGAAGAGGTGAACTGAGATTCCAATTCAGACAGTCAGCTCCAGAGCCTCCAGCTGGGCCAGGTCTTATGAGTGACAAAGCTATCATCCCTTCTCCATCCCCTGCACCTGTCCTTAGCCCAGCTTGGGGGACTTGCTATATGGCAATGAGACCAAGGGGTCAGGGGCAGCGCAGACCCTCACCTTTGTCACCATAGAGCCCCGGCTTCTCAAGACCAGTGTTTGTCGTTCCACCTTCCCTGGGCCATTGGCTAAGCACAGAGAGCAGAGCCAGTCAGAAAATTCCCAGCCCACAGACAGAGCCCTTGAGGAGGAGGAGCCTGAGTGTAACCCTCCATGTGAGCACAGCTGTGACAGCAGGAACCCAGGGAGAGATCAGAGGAGGCTGCCTGGAGGCGGTGACACCAGCAGAACAGGCATGGAGAGGGCTGATGGGCAGGGAGGCTCCAGAGGGGAATGGAGACTCCAAACTCCCCCCCAAGATGGGATCCAGCCACAGCCTCGAGATTGATGCCACCTCTGATGCCATCCTCCCCGGGGCCCCCAGCCAGCTGTGCTCCCTCCCAACGCTGCCCTCCCTGAAGTTCACCTTTGGGTCTCCCTCACCAGCCTGAGAGCTCCAGTGCAGCGCCCAGGTCTGGCTCTGCCCACCTCCGGTGTCCGGAACAGGACTTGGCAGGTTCTGCTGCGGGCAGGAGCCCTGGGAGGAAGGGACAGCAGAGTGGCCTGCAGGACAGGGCTGGCCAGGCACCTGCTGGGAGCCCAGGGCCAGGCCACCCCCAGGGCTGGGGTGACCACTCCTCCGGTCAGTGTCCATCTCTGTGGGGCACGGCCTCCTGCTCCTGTGGTCACCTCTCACCTCTTGGTCCCTTCCAGCCTCCAGCCTCTGCCAGACCAGCTGCACCGGACAGAGGCCACAGCCCGGAACCGTCTCCTCCCTGAACCAGAACTTCAGGTTTCCAGGCCCGGTGCAGGCAGAAACAGGAAGGCAGCTCGTCAACGGATCCAGGGCGCCTTCAGCCCCTCCGCTCTCCCCGCTTCTCCTCATCCATCCACCTTCACCCCAGTCACCTCCCTCCCGGAAGCTAAGATCATAGCTGGAATCGATTAGAACGGGGAAACTGAGGCCCAGGAAGGAAGCAGGACCTCTACCTGGGACCGAAAACAGGGCAGTGTTCTCAGGGGTTACAGAGATCCCCTCTGCAACAGACTTGCCTTCCCGCCCCATCCTCCCATCCTTCAAGGCCACCGGAGCACATGCCAGGGAGGGGATCATTCCTGGGCAGGGCAGAGGCCCAGGTGGCTGGACTTGACGCAAACTGCCTGCTTCACGGCATAAAGGGGCCTAATGCTCAGCACAGCCAAGGAGCGGGGCCTTCTCCAGGTGCTGGTGTGAGCATGAGCCCCAGATGGGGCCGGGGACCACCAGGCCACCTTGCGAGAATTCTGGGAGGTTCCAAAACTGACGTCTGTTTGTGGGATCCCTATTTGTTCCCTTCTTGGTTCCACCAAAGGACCTGCAGGCTTATCATCCCCAGAGATGGGACAAGGCACAGTGCAGCAAGGGGGGACATGGGGTGGAGTGGTACACAGGGATGAGAAGCGGCGGTACTAAGGCCCTGGGCCTGACAGAGGAGGAAGCCTCCCATCCACCCATCCCCTTGGGATTCCCCCTGAGTCACAGGCCTCCTCCAGTCTCTTATCTCCTCTTATCTCCCTGGCCCGGCCCTTAAGGGAGGCCAGCAGATGTTTACTGAATGGGAAAAAAACAAAGAAACACTGGACCTGGGAGGAGGGTGTGGGCCGAGGCAGGTGCCCTGGGTGGGACTGAAGTGGACCAGAGAGTCGGAGAGATGGGACTTCCGGGCAGGGCTGGCTCTGGGTTCCCAACACCAGGCCGGCAGGAGCAGGTGGTGAGAGCAGGCAGTTTGTCATCTGCCCCCTGTGTGTTGAACAGCACAGATATACCTCAAGTCACTTCAACCTCCAGAAACCAGGAGCAGCGAGAACTATTCTCCCCATTCACAGATGAGGTAACTGAGGCCCGGGGAGGGGAAGTGACTTGTTCAAGGTCACACCTCCTGCAAGGTAGGGCCAAGGCCATCTGGCTCAAAAGCCAGCCTCCTCATTTCATTTTGGGAGAAAGGAGAGGGAGGCTGGCAGGCAGGGAGGCTGGCCAAGGAGATCCCCCAAGAGCAGAGAGGCCACAACTAATGTCAAGAGAAGGAGCTGGGGGTGGGGTGGGAGTGAAGACGGGCTTCCCCTGGGCCTTCGAGAAAGTTGGCTTTTTGCTCTATTTGTAAACAGTCAGGACACAGGACCCAGGAAATGGGACTCCATAGAAACACGGCTGCCTCGGGCCATGCTCCACCTCAAGGGAGTTAATGGTCACCCCACTGGGCTGGCCCCACCCCACCAGCCTGAGGCAAGTGAGCCTGACTTCCTGCTCCACCAACCCTACATCCCGCATCCTATCGGTGGAGCAGGGCCTGCCCGCCATGCCCGCCATCCCACCCTGCCACGACCTACAGCCCCACTTACAAAGAGCCGTCCATCACACACACCCCAGTCCACACCGTCTCACCCCGTCATCCCACACCACTCAGAAGTGCCTGGCCCTGAACTGCCTCCCAACCCAGAACTGACCCCCACCGCCGCCCCTGGGCCCCGCTCAGTCGTCTCCGTCTCAACGCCAACCACCACAAGCTGGCCTCCACATCCAAGGCAGGGGCAGCTCTGCTCCTCCTCTTTATGTGTCTAGGAACGACTAGGCACCAAGCCCAGTGAGAAAGGCAGCGAAGGAGAGTGTGCCGTGGCAGGACTCCTGAACTGGCAGGCAAAGGGCCCAGAGAGGGCAGGTGACTCCAGCAGGGTCACACAGCAGGGGGATGCCGAGCCCAGCCAGCTTGGCACTTCCCCCTCTCACTGCAGCAAGCCCAACCATCCCCAGCCACGCCTCGCCAGGCTCCTTCCAGAGCCACAGGATCTAAAATGTCTGAGTGATGGCCAGAGGGCAGCAGAGGGTCAGGAGGGGAGCAGCGAGGGGGTGGAGTGAGAGGAGGGCAGAGAGCTCGAGCACCCAAGGCCTCACAAAGGCCTATTGAGGGAGGCCTCCTTCCCCACCCACCAAACATAGGAGAGGGAGGAAGCCATGGGGGTTGGGAGTTCACCAAGGGGCAGGAGTCTCAGGCCAGGCAGGGAGGCGGCTGGGAGTTCTGAGAACCAAGGCAGCGCAGCTCATGGGGCTGAGGTCCCCAGGGCGCACCAAGGACCCTCTATCTGGGACCGGGGAGGTGGGCCAGGGCGGGCAGGAGCCCGGGGAGGAAGGGAGAGCCCAGTGGCCTGCAGGACCAGTGCAGGCCACTCTGCTGCAACCCGCTGGGCGATCGGGGCAGGTGCTTGCCCCTCCCGGACTCAGTTTCCCTACCTCTTAAGCCCCCCAGTCCAAGAACATCGGATTTTGTGCATTGGAAGGGACTTGAGAGCCTGGCCTGTGAGAGGAACATGAAAACTGAATTTCACTTTCCCAAAATGTCCAGCGGGGCTGGAAGGCACTTTGTAACGTGCAAATCTTCCCCTGTCACACGCTGTTGAGAGCCTGGCCTAAGATCCCCGCTGCCTCAGATCACAGCTGCCCTGGCCCGGCCCTGCTGACCCCAGGGTCCCCGGGGCTTCCTCTCCCCTTATTTCACCCCACACACCCCACGCACCTGCCATGTCCCAAATAAGGCTGAAGTTTCAAGCTCGTGTCTTTCTCACACCCCACGCTCTCACCCCTCAACTCTGAGATGCCTCCTCTGAGTACTGGAGGGGGAGTCTCCCCCCGCCCCAGGCACCTCGGTCCAGCACCGTCTCCTGTACTGAAGTCCCCCCCGTGTGACCAACTCTCAGTGTCACCAGCACAGCCGCGGAGACTGGGGAGGGGCCTGGGGCACTGTCCTTCAGCAGCCTCTCCGTCACCCAGGCCCCCGGGACACCCACTCTCACACTCAGGAATCGGGGTTAAAGAGAATGAGATCATGCCGTGAGGCCAGAAGCTTCTGTTCAACACATTCCAGCCTCAGCGACCAAGGCTGGGACAGAGGGAGCCGTCAGACAGATGCTCCATAATTCACAGATCCCAACAATAATGGTGACAGCTGGCTTATGGGTGCCAGGCTTGGTGCCAGACGTTCATGCATCATCTCTTTTAAGGCTCACAACTCTATGCGGTACTATTATTTTTTACTATTACTCTTATTACTGATTAACCATCGTAATAAATACCTTCCACGTACAGCAAATGACTATTTCAAAATCACTACAACAATAATCAGCAAAGTAAATTCCTTCTACTTGAATGTCACTCTACGTTGTACTAAAAAAAAAGGCACATCCACATCACCTCATTTGTATCCGAGAAACGACCCTGGCAGGAGGGTGGCAGAACAGAGGGCCCCACTTTCCTCATAAGGAAGCTGAGGCCCAGAGAGGTCCTGGCTGGGCAGCGGTGGCCACGGAACTGGGGGCCATTCTCCTGGCTCCCCATCCAGATGAAATCCCACAGCAGGCGGGCCCAGCATCAGCCGCTCCACTTTCTCGGTTGCCTGGGCCTCAGAGCAACCCCTCCCAGTCACCCGCTGTCCCCCGCAGACTGGGTGGGTCTGGGCTTGCCCACCTCAGCATCAGTTCTGACCAGACACTGACCTTGGGGCGCTTCCACCTAACGGCGGGCCCTGGGGCGCCCGTATAATACAGTGAGTCGTCGGTGGCGGGGAAGGTCGGGTCCTCAAAGAGCACCTTCCTGCGCAGACAGGCCCGTTTCAGGGCCGAGTAGTTCTGGTCCCCATAGGGCTTCACACAGGAGAACATGGTGACCGCTGGCCCGGGAGGGGAGGCCGAGACAAGGCAGCAGAGGGCAGCTCCTGGGGCACCTGGGAGGACAGAAAATCAGAAGAGCATCACTTCCTGAGGACTGGAGGTCCCGAGGGATATGCTGAGTGAGGTGGTCCCCGCGTGCTCCCTCCCCACAGCCCTGGGAAGTGGGCACCCTCATCCCCATTGTACAGGCCAGGAACTGAGGCTCAGCGAGGGGGAGAGACCTGCCCAAGGTCACACAGCTGGTACGCACAGAGCAGGGAGAGGAACCGACTAAGTCCACAGCCTGAATTTCCTCATTTCTGATGCTTAGAGGTGACGCCAGGCCCGCGGGCCAACAGGGCACAACCACGATGGGCTCAGGGCTGCCTGGCCGCACCCACGACCTCCCTTCCTTTGTTCCACCAGCCTTCCTAGAGCTCCCGGACAGAATCAGACCAGGGGTGAGCCAGCAGCTCCCTGGCTGGTGTCACACCCACAGGGAAGTGGCAGCACTGTCTCCAAGTTTCCCTCTTCCGGGCCCTCACGCCTTAGCCTAGAGCCGCAAGATCATCTCTGTCCTGTGTGGAAAACCCTTGGCCCCGGAGGCCCGTCCAGCCTTCAGTCACATCCCTTCTCACCCCCTCCTTCCAGCACTCTGACTTCTCCACCGCACTTCCGGGATAAATGCCTCCAGTTCTGTAGGGAGCGCTCTCTCACTTCACGCTGGTGACCTAACCTCCCCCCCCGAGGACTCCCAGCCCCACCCTGTGACCTTCCAATCTCCAAAGCCAGACTCTCCCACACGGCCTCCCAGACCTTGCAGCGTCTCACACTCCTGGACGGTCGGTCTCCTCTTCCTAGGCCTCGGGGGCATCTAGCGCTGGTCCGGACCCATCTCCCCCTCTGACCTCCCCTCCCCCTCAGGGGTCCCCTGGCTGATGACCCCCACATCCCTCTGTTCAGCCTGGACCCCTCTTCTAGGCTTCCAGCTGGCCCATCTCCTGCGAGGCCCAAACTCCACAGCAGAGCCTGGACTTGAATCCACACGCAGCCCTGGCACACGAAGGTGCTGTGCCTATCAGCGCCGCAGTCCAGCACCCTGAACCTTGTAGCCATGTGCTGACCAAATGCAAGAGACCCAGACTGGACCGACTCAGGAAAGGGCTCTGGGAGGGGAGGGGAGAAGAGGGAGCCGCAGCCAGGTGCCCTGACAGAAGCTGGGACAGCCAGGCACCTGACTGCCAGCCCCATCTATGGCCCTGTATCTCACACTCCATCTGGGCTGCTGGCTCCAGCTGGGAGCTCCACACCTCCAGGCCTACTTATCACTGGGCCTGCTCAGGGCAACACTGCAATCCCCACCCCTAAGACACAGGCCCCAGCTACGCAGCCTAGCTGAGGGAAACTGAGGCAAGGTAGGCCAGCTTCTAGGGCAAACATGAGTTTGTGAGCAAACTGATATGGGTGTCAGTCCCAGCTGTACTACTCACCTGCTGTGTGGCCCTGAACAAGTCACTCAACCTCTCTGATTCCCTATTTTCTCATCTCCAAGATGGGAACAATGTTGCTTCAGTAACTGGAAGATGCCAGCAAAATTAACCAGAGGCTGCGGAGACTGCTTAGCAGGCCAGAGGGAAGAGGAAAGACAGAAGCAGAAAAGCCCCCCTCATTCCCAAGAGAGAACCTCCGTGTCTCTGGCACCTGCCGTGTGCAAACCACCTGGCTAGAGGGTGGCGTTTAGGATTTGCTGGGTAGGCCTTTCATTGTTGCCATTTTTCAGAAAAGAGAACTGAGGCTCAGTGAGGGGAGGCAACTTGCCCAAGTTCCATGGCAGAGTCTGGACTTGAACACACATCCTCTGACTTTGGAGCCTCCATCTTGGCCTGGTGACCTCAAAGCGTGGGCAGGGCTCACCCCACACACACCCTGGCTGAGCCAGCCCCACAGGAAAGGAAAGATGAGGGGATTCAATGGAGGGGAGAAACAGGAAAGGAAGGAGGTGAGAATGGAGGGGTGAGGGTGGAACACGGATGGACAGAAGGGAGAGCAGGGCTGATGGTCCCTGCCTGCCGAGGGTCTGAGGGCTGGCTTGTCCTCTGCTCTGGACCCACAGCCGCTTCATCTTCTGTCCATACGTCATACAGGGCCCACCTGTCCCACTGCTGTGTGACCTCAGGCAAACCCCCTTAACCTCTCTGGCCATCCCTCTACCGGGAAAGGCCAATAACCCTGCCCCTTCCCACCCACCCTCCCAGCGTTGGAGGCCTGAGG